GTGCTTTGGCAGAACTCTCCATTCACTTGGAGTTTCACTAATGGTGTCCAGCCCAGGGCAGCTCCCAGGATTGGGTGTTAAGTGATCCATGAGCCTGCTGCTGTCTCAGATGGGCACATACTGCCCCAATGACATTCTTTAAAAGAATATTTTTTCCTGATCACACAAGTGCCTCTGGCTTGCGATAGCAACTTTTCATAAAATTGTGACAAATTTATCCACTCAGTTTTCGGTTCTGCTCTTCACCACAACACAACCACTTCCATAAAAGAGAGAAAAGTATTACTTTGCAATGGGAGAGGGGGTCAAATAAGCACATAAAAGTCATTAAAATGGGTTGAAAAGTTTTCAAACTCAAGTTTAGCATCAGGTCACTCTAGTTTAACTGTACATGAGTTGAGCAGGACATCACAGTATCCTTACAATTTTTCAGGTTATATACACACACTTTTTTTATTTCTACACAAAGTAAAACCACAAGTATACCATTGAATTAAGGCACTTTAGTAACTACGGTATTTTTTATTACAAGTTACAGGTTGATTTCTACTACAGCATCAGTTAGAAACAAACAATAAAACGATCTCTCTCAGTTTACCTGTCTATTTCATTCTGTACTTCATCAATATGTTCAATTGCTTCCTGTTGCTCTTTTTCTACAGAGAGGAAGGGGAAAAAACAAAACACGGTCAAACTCTGCAAGTTCTTGAGTCTGACAAACCAGCAGCGAAGTTTCCTTTTATGACATTTTCTACTACTCTGAACTGGTCCAGAAATTGCTCCTGCCTACAGACGCAAAGCTCACCAGACCTCAAACTTCAGCTAAGTTGGTTGAAAACTTTGTGCTTTTTACAGAAAGCTTCAACCCCAAGGACCCACGCGCTGCTGAGCACTGGCGACGGCACACTCCAAAAACACCGTGCTATTCCTTTGCTTTTTAAATGCTAAGCAGAAGCTTGGGGGGTTACTTTAGCCAAACGGCATGGCAGCGCACGTGTGAGCAAAAAGAGTCCTTAAAACACCCTGAACGTGGAGCAGATAGAAAACACAGCACAAACAGGCTGCTTTCCTTTAAAAAAAAAATTTTTTTTTAAAAAGGAAAAAAAAAAAGGGAAGAACCCCCAAAAGCTGCGTGTAAAACCAAGGGCTGAAAGGAGCCGGGTTTGAACTCGGAGGCCGGCTGTTTACCTCCCGCGCCGGGGGATAAGGAGCCGAGCCGAGTC